GAAAGGTTCGACTATCTGGTAAAACACGATCGGGATATCTCTGGTGATAAATTCGTCTGGCTTGCTCACCATTACCGTAGGCAAGGCCATATTTACGTAATGCATTTCCGCCATTTCTGCATTTGAATAATTCACCATTATTAACAAGATTGTAAAAACTAAATAATGAAAAAGATGTTGCAGTGAACAGATTTAAATAGCAGAGACTTGTCAGATGTCAAAAGCCACTGAAATGTTCCAGAGCAACTAGATATTTATGGCTAAATTGCATTCTTCAATTATTACATTAATTTTCTCGGACAATAGAACGGTTTTTATTTTTTTACTCGAAAATGGCGCATCGAAGGAAAATAACTCAAGAGAGGCCATTTGTTTTAAATTGAACGGAGAATTCATAAATAAGTTTTATTTGACAAAAAACCATTGGCGTACCAATTTTTTCTTAAAAAATATCGAAGTCAATACCCATACGCACGTCACTGTTAGAGCTAAATTATTTTTGCATTGAAAAATATGCAACTTTATTAACTTTCATTACATACTAAATATCAGTGAAATATCTGATGCGGTTCTGAAAATTTTAATTAATTTCCATTTTTTTCCTAAAACTTCAACACCCCGAGCAAAGAAACATTTTTGGACCATAGTTTATAAAGTAAACAAACATCAATTTTTCATGTAGATTCATACCTTTAAATATTCGCATATCATTAAGGAACACCCTGTACCGGAGGTGTTAACAAAGTAACGGGTAATTCCTTGGGCAACTATAAGAAAAGAACTTCACTAAACGAGGGTTGGAAAATACTTCGCTTTCATGATTCAGGGTGACGAACTTTATTTGAAGGTCATTTTTTTTCGTAAAAATTCAACCACTTAGCCGATTTTGCTGAGTGTTTCCAGCCTGTGGCGCATTGATGATTGCCAGAAAGCATGACACCATGCTATATACGGTTGATTATGGTTAGAGACTCGGAAAGTAGACATATCCCAACTGAAACATTGAACATGTACCTCGATAGTGCCTCACTCCTGTGACAAATTCTCTTAGATGATGCTACGGTATCTCATTTTATCTCGGATAATTTTTTGAGTGCGGAAATACAGCACAGGCCGACTCCAGTTCAGAAAAACATGTCCTTGATCCAGCAGTATTTTTGGTGTGCCATAACAGGTCTTCATTAAATCCTTTGCAACGGCTTTTACTTGGTTTGAATTTCCCTTTCGCAATCATGTTTCTGTCCAGAAAAGAACAATACCCGGGGAAGAACTATCAATAGCGGAAATAGCGACACAGACATAGAAGCCTGCAAAAACGCTTGATACAGCCGAGTCGTAGACGGTTGATTTGACGCTAGATATGCAAATAAGACGTTCTCGATACGGTCAATTAGGCACAGATCCGGCCGACTGGGTGGCTGCATGCTGGAAAAAAAAAACGGTGCCAGTACAAGAGGTGGGATTCCGATTGTCTATCATACCGGTGTATTGTTACTAGTATATTACAATCACTATGATGTAAGCTGTTACGAGGAGAAATAATATTTTATCGGGCGATTTTATTTTGGTATTTTGGTAGATCAAAGGAAATTATTTTCAGTTCATTTACTTCATTAAATAATTGCAGAAAGCGTAAAAATGGAATCATCACATAAATTCGTTCATTCGCAAACTGTTGTTCAGAATAACTAGCTCAATATTCTTTTGCTACGAAACTTTGAATTTAGTACGCAAAATTTCGTACACAGTTAAGAATAGTGTAAGATAGCATTTCGTATATGATTTCGAATGAACAAATGTATTAAAATATTTTTTAGAAGCTGTTCTAAATAATTTAATACAAAATTCAGGATTCTAGTTCTGAAAAATCGATAACTAAATTCAGCTACTAGCTCGGTCAAAATATCTTCGTATCCGATGAGAAAAAAATCCTTATTTGGATTTTTTTGTTTAATCTTATTCAAAACGGGCCCCTTTTAACGATTCTGCATGTTTCTAGGAACAAATCTGAGTCAAAAATTGTGTAAAAGACTTCGAAAAATTGTTTTTTTCGCTGCCGTCCAAGTGCGTTTAGGACATTATGTACAAAAAAGCCACTCCTAAGTTGATAGTTTTCGAGATATAAGCGGTACAATATTTGAGAAAGTGCGAAGTTTTTGATCTTTGACTCCGAAAAACAATATGAAAAAATGAAAATTTTAATGTTGCCAATGTTCCTAAGTATTCTTCAAACATCCATTAACAAACGCTCAATTAACAATTGAAAAACAAAGGTTTACAATCGTGAAACGGTTTGGAATTTTCTTAACGGATGTTTGAAGAATATTAAGGAACATTTTTATTTTTTCATATTGTTTTTCGGGGTCGAAAATGACATATTTCGAACTTTTTCAAATATCGTATTTCTTATATCTCGAAAAATATTCACTTTAGAGAGAAGTCCTCAAGCATTTTTTGTTCAGTCCGAAAAAATGTAAAACTTTTCTGAATAGAACGAAAAAAAATTGGAATTTGTTAAAAAATTGTTTAAAATTTTATTAATGCAGATCTGGTTTCTAGGAACAAATCTGAGTAAAAAATTTTGTAAAAGACTGCCAAAAATTGTTTTTTTCGCTGCCGTCCAAGTGCGTTTAGGACATTATGTACAAAAAAGCCACTCCTAAAGTTGATAGTTTTCGAGATATAAGCGGTACAAAAGTTGAGAAAGTGCGAAGTTTTTGATCTTCGACTCCGAAAAACAATATGAAAAAATTTAAAATTTTAATGTTGCCAATGTTCCTAAGTATTCTTCAAGCATCCATTAACAAACGCTCAATTAACAATTGTAAAACAAAGGTTTACAATCGTGAAACGGTTTGGAATTTTCTTAGCGGATGTTTGAAGAATATTAAGGAACATTTTCATTTTTTCATATTGTTTTTCGGGGTCGAAAATGACATATTTCGAACTTTTTCAAAAATCGTATTGCTTATATCTCTAAAACTATCAACTTTAGAGAGAAGTTCTCAAGCACTTTTGTTCAGTCCCAAAAAATGTAAAAGTATTTTGAACAGAGCGAATAAAAATTGGAATATGTTTAAAAAATTGTTTAAAATTTTGTTAACGCAGATCTGGTCCTGGCAGCATGCAGCTTAACTAAGACGAATCGTTTTTGAATAAGTTTATGCAAAAAATCTGAATCAGAATGTTTATCCTAGTAGATGAGCTCAACACACCTTTTTCGACAAAAAAATTTTTTTTACAGAATTATCTATTCAGGGTGTCCGCAAAGTTGGGGTTTTCCTTTACACGACGTGTAGATCTTGAAAACATAAGCAATTTTTCTTAGTACCATATACACCAATGTCTTAAGGGAACCGAGATAAAGGGCTCTGCAACATCAAAAATATCTGAATACCGTCCTGTAGCCGCGACATCCCTGAGTGGTACTAGGACACCAGCTCAACCCGACGACAGAACTGGGTCGGGGTCAGTGTGTCAGGTCAGTATGCAACCTTCAACCGACGGTTACGGTCACGCGTGTAGAGGTAAGCGAACCCGTATAATCGATTGCGTTTCAAAAAACAACAAGCCCTTCAACCTGACGATTTTCCAGCAAGAGTGCGGTTTTGTGAGTGGTTGTTGCATCAACATGACAATAATCCGGACTTTTTGAAGTGCATATTGGTGACAGACGAATCTACATTCACGCGTAATGGGGTGAATAACTTTCGCAACACTCATGTTTGGTCAGTAGAAAATCCGCACGCTGTCCGTCGGGCACATTTTCAACAAACATTTTCGGTGAATGTTTGGGCTGGCATGGTGAACGGTATGCTCATTGGACCATTTATTCTCCCAAATCGATTGGACGGGATGCAATACCTAGACTTTTTACGCAACATTTTGCCTTCCCTGTTAGATGTGCCATTAAGTGTAAGACAATCAATGTGGTTTCTGCGTCTGCTCTGTAGCGCATCAGCTGATTTCATTTTCTGTTGGAGCGGTATGATTTCGGGCAGAGACGTACTTAGCCCTTCTCGTCAACTGGAGAGTGAGTACTTTTTCCTTTTTTTTTTACTTGGTCGCCCTCGTTTCACTATACATTACCTTTGTTATTTCAAGGGTAGTTGTTTCTGAAAAGGAAAACCCCAACTTTGCGGACACCCTGTATAATTTCATATTGTGACAAATGGTCCACCAGACTCTTCACTAGGTTCATTTCTTATTGAGCAACCTGACTAAGGTTGTTGAATATAGATAGATAAGAAATTTTCCTGATGTATTTAAATGAGTTTTTGACGAGAAAGCTTTTTGCATTCAAGATTGACATTACTAGTTATTTTTAACAGATTGAAAAGTATATGTTTTGCATTCCATCTCGTATAACCATGACCAACCGCAGACAGCGCTGTATCCTGCTCATGAGCAACTCATCAGAGCGGTATAGGTCTTAGATGCAGTCGCGGAGACAGGCGAAACGGAAAGCAACAAGTGAATGCGGCATTTTGAAAAACTTTGTGCGCAAATTTATCGAAATTTGATTCCGAAGCGTCACTTGTATTTTGCAATATAAATATTACTTCACCAAAACTACTACTCTGGGTACTTACGTTCAGTATTATCAAAATTTCAAAGAGGGACTTGTGTTTCGAAAAAAATATTTTTTTATTGTCTTGTTGGTCATAGGAAATTATCGCATAACTTGTCAACCTTATATCTACATAACTTACAAATCAATAAATTTGAATGTGAATGTAACGAAACGAACAAAAATTGGCTGATCCCACAAAACGAAGAACCAGAGGTCAGTAGTTGTATTTCAATAGGTGAATAATGGGAAAATATATTTATATTTAATCTTACGGGTCTCAAAGAAATGATGAAATAATGAGTTCTTAAAAAACTAAGCCCAAAAATCCCCCATTTATAACACATGTACCATTTCCATAAAGTGCAAGGTAAACCTAATTATCTGGAAATAAACAGATACAAGGACTTTTTTCATCACCCTAACTCACCTGTGCCGTCGACATACATAACCATGAAACCAACTAGCTAAATCCAACAGGAACACCGGGAATCACTACACTCCATCATTCAACACAACTTCCGATTTTAAATTGAAAATCACCATCTTCCGCACTCACACTGCTCACTACTTTAACAACTTTAACACATTTTCTAATTAGTCCTTCTTGTTCTAGTAGGCTATGGTGTATGTATTCGAGTTTCAACTGTTATTTTTAAAACGTCGTCTCCTGTCCTGCTCTGTATTTGATTGATGCATTTTTAGAGACAGGGTACTGGTAACGAGTTGAGGTTTTTTAGGTGACGATGATCGGACGCTGATTGGTGCATTCAGGCCGATTGGGTAACGCTTTAGTATCTTCCCGATTTCCTGGATAGAATGAGTATGCTACACGTCATAGTTTGGAATATATTGTACCACCAAATTTCTATTATAAATGTAATAAAAATTGCCTTCCAAATTTCAAACATGAAGTTTCACGTCAAATCGGTGAAAGACCAGCAGTGAGTTCAAGCGACACATGATAAGTTCTAGTCTTTAGAATGTGATTTTGCATCTGCCATGGGCCTTATATTTCTATCTTGAATGTTTGTTATGAGATGTATGGTATGTCAAATAAAATGTTTTCCCATAATTAGCGACAAAATGAGGATAATCCACATTACCTGTCCTCAAAATTAATGTAAGCGATTTGTTTCATCCATTAACAAAATGACGTCAAGTAGGTAGACTCTGCATTTCCCACGCAATGTGGTCATCAGTCCATAAAGAATTATTATAAGAAAACAATCACTGGGCCAGTTTCATAATCTACAAAGTTCGTTTGTCCTTGGCATAGCAGTAACCTTGTGAGAAAATTTGCGAATTGCGCACAGGTCGACAGACAGACAGATGGAAATGAGTGGCATGATTTTCTGTGATGTACGAGCCCCTTCCCACTTCAGTTGGCCCAACTATTGAAATCGTAGTTTTTTTCTTATCAAACACAAATAATAAACATTTAGCAGGGTGTTTTATAGGTTTAAAATATTAACAATGAATATTTTGATAATATATAGTAGAAAACACCAACTTCATCACACCCTAATCAAATTTGCAGCATAAAAATATCACATATTGCAATTACAGCATATCAACCTATTTTCATTTCAATGCAAAATAAGTCTAGGTGGCTGTGCAAAATAAAAGCCATGACAATTGTTTTTATTAATCACAGCTGTCAGAATACGTTTAAAATAGTTTTGGGTAGTTAAGGTTTTCAAAATGGGTAGAGGAAAGGTTATTAGTGAGAAAATTCGGTTACCGATGATTAAATTTTTTAATTCTGGGAAATCAAACTCAGAAATTGCAACTTTGTTAAACTTATCGCGGTACAGTGTGAGAAATATTGTTAGAAGATATAACTTAACTGATTGTTGGAAGGAGAATTTCGAGGTCCACAACTCATAGAGAGGCCCACAAACTGGGATTTAGCACTTGCAAGGTAAGTTTTCTTGTAAAAAAAGTGTAGTAAAAACCCTAAAGTTGCATAACTTGTTTATAGGCCAAAGAAAAGCCACTATTAACTCCACTGCAAAAGAAAAATCGGCTTAGATGGGCTAAAGAACATAGACAATGGACACCTCAACAATGGTGTGCAATACAATGGAGTGATGAGGCCCGATTCGAAGTTTGGGTTGGTGATAGTCGCAGTACAGTTATTTGTAAAAAAAATGAAGCATTCCATGTTGACTGTCTGAAGAGAAAAGTGAATTTTCCAGCATCCATTATGGTCTGGGGCAGTATGTCACCAAAAGGAGTAGAAAAACTTCATTTTATTGATGGAAATGAGGATACAAACAAATATTTGGCAATTTTAGAAGAATCGCTTTTACCAGTGATGGAAGAATGTTTGACATCCGGCCAAGATTTTGTGTTTCAGCAAGATGGTGCAGCATGCCATACCTCAAAAATGCAGCAGTCCAGATCTGTCACCTATTGAAACTTTGTGGCACGAGATGAAAAAGGTTCTACGACAAGATCCTGCTCGTACAATCACCGAACTGAGACAAAAGCTTCAAGAAATATGGGATTGTTTTACACCAAATTTTTGCCAAAACTTGGTTAACACTACGCCCCAAAGAATTTCAGCCGTAATAAAAAATAAAGGTGATGTTACCCAATGGTAATCTTTCAATTGTTGCTTTGTTAACTTCGCGCATTTATTCGCACATTGTTTATTTGTTCAGATGTTCTATTAGTTATAGGTCTAAGTGATTTCAAATATGTATTTTTTTGGACTAGAGTGTATCTAAAATGTTTTTGAGAAAATAAATTGTTTTAGAAGTAAATAGTTTATGAAGGCATATTTTGGTACAAATCTTGAATTGGGCCAACTGAAGTGGGAAGGGGCTCGTACATGTCAGATAAGGTGCAGAAAACATAATTTCTCATTTTTGAAAATTTTCGCGGTTACAATACTTTTCCTCTAGTAAGCGTTGGAAGTATAATATTTGAAAATAGATTTCCAAAAGATGCTTGTAATAGATACTTCTTTTGTTTGGTAATGAATAAATAAATCGCCCATTATATCAGACTGTTACGAAGATATTAAAATATGAAACAATGGAATAACTCCCAGGAATTAGTCCAATTATGTGTAATTTTTACAGTTAATACGGTACTTAATACTTTCATTGCAGAGCGCAAAACAATGCGATGAAGCTGCACATGCATTTTTATTTCTTTATACAGCATGCAGCAGTATGTGTCCGAGAACAATAATAATGTGTAACTGCTGATTTTATGAACATACAACACTTGTTTAAGAACGTGTGTTTTGTTCTGGGAAACTACATGATGATGATGATGGCGATGAGATACTTGGTGGGTTCTTAGTTGGCGTGACCAGAATGCGCACGGCAACGACAGGCAAAATAGTTCATTAAAGAATGAAGGCCCGCATTGACAGAGTACCTAGTAGGAAGGCCGTAAGGGCCATACTGAGTCTCCAGACAGGATATCCCATTTCTTTTGTAACCTAGTGTAAACACAGCGCTGTGACAATTGGCGTGCAGTCCATGATGGATTGGACCACGAAAAAGTCCCTGAAATAGTAGAACCCCTAGTCAGGCAAGTGTTAATGAAAGAATGGAGGCTCGCATTAACAGATATTCTGTTTGGATGTAACAGGAAGGCCATAAGGGCCAAGGACAGGACAGTGCCGTCTAAACGTAGCTTAACTGAAGAGGCGATGTGCTGATTCTGCACATATCATAAGGACACCCCAGTGCACCTTTGGTGTCACAGTTAAGGCCTCGTAAGGCTAAGGTTCTAAATATTTAGAATCGCGAATTCAAAAGTGAAAAGTTACATGCAAAGCCCTGTACCATGGCGATGGAGTTACAGTGCTTCAGGCAATGCATATGGGGGCAGTAACATATCCTATTATGTGCTATTCAACAGATTTTCTCTTGCGAGAGAAATGCCTTTTGTCTTTGATCCGTCCAGGATAAATAAATTTTTGAGTCAATCGGGACGATAAACATAATAATCTAACAGATTGATCTACTTCGGACACCAGCGCAAGTAATCAAGAGACCTGTTAACAGGATAAAAGATGTTGGCGATCATCCAAATGATAAGTCGTTCAATTTGAAATTTCGTAAATCCATTATTGTGCACTCGATTTTAGAACGGACTATAAATACGACTATAGTTATTTTTAAATTTGCTATTATTGTTTACCCTAGTTACTTGAAAGTGAAAACAATCCAACCAGAAAATGATCCGCGTTATGGATCCACACCGTATAAAACTTTGTTCATGCCAATGTAAACAGAGGGAAATACTGGGAACTCGAGGAGTGGAAGTCGGTTTCAAGACGACGTGATGTTTGGATCAACATTATGTTACATTAGAAGTAACGAGCTCGTGCAAAACTTGCAAAGGAACAAGCGCAAGATTCGCGGAATTTTGGGTTTTACTTGCTACGCCATTGGGCGAGGAAGTACTGTAATCGCCAAAAATTTCGAAAATGAAATGTTTTGTTTTTGAATGTTATACTCGTATGAATGTATATCAAGAAAAACCATGTCGGCTTGTCTTTCGGTCTGTTTGTCTGTTGGTCTGTCTCTGTCAGTCCGTGGCCCGCCTATAACTTGGAAGGTACTGCTCGGATCTGGATCAAATTTTTACACAAGGTCACTACTATGCCAAGGACGAAAAAGCTTCAAGTTTCTTGAAAATAGTCCAATGGGGACGAAAAAAAGGCCAAAAAATGAACAAAACAAATCTCGCTCAAACGTTTTTTGACATTTCAGAGAATCCGGGTCGTTTTTTAACGAAAATTAGGGGTGAAAAATCAGAGACTGGGGGTGCACATAATAAAATTTAAAACCCAAAAACTCTTGGTATAAATAGAAAGCATTTTCAGCAATAAAATGTTAAAACAGTATGATTATGATATGCGTCTCCTTCTGTAATCTGAACTCATCGCCTGACATAACAATCTGCTTGATTGTTCTGCTCGTACTGCAGCGCTGCCTCGTCTAACGATATGGGAAGAGGCAACGTTGCCAGATGGACGGTACTTACCGGTAGGGTAGGGAAAGAGTGTCTATAAACTAATTGTATGGACCTGTTTGACTGACTTGATCGGTTCAGTTTTTATATTGTTTATCTCAGAAGCTTTAGCTTGCACATGAACTGATAACAGCGTTACGTGAGAAGTGGAGAATCAACTTAACACACCTAGCACTGCCTTATTATCAATCTTTATTGGTATAAATTAAAGATTATATATTATATATATATATATATATGTATGTATAGGTGAAAAATTAAAGCTTCCTCCTTTTGTTGGGTACTTCGACAAAATTTAAGCAAAGAGGACTCTTTATACTTTTTTAATTCTCTCTAGCTTTCAATGGACTTTGCCATCATTATCAGGAGCTGCAATTACAATGATAACAGTAGCAACAAAAGTGTAAAATGAATTTAAATTGACTCAACTTACAGTGGTATGTGAGGATGTCGCTAATTGTTGTTTACGTATAGGATGAGGGAAACGTCCAGTAACATGGTGAGAGCTGGATAGATGGTACAATGGTCAAAATTATATAAAATATGACAAGAACAAGTTAAAAACAGATTAAAAATTATTTAAAAACATTAGAGCATTACATCGTGGAGCCACTTGATGATTGCACAAAATGGTGGTCATGGAATAATGAGTGAGATGAACCCTTTGACAGAAGGCCGAAGGTTGTCAATGTCTGTGTTGAAAGATGGAACGAATTATGGGCGTGTGCCAACGTTGCCAAATCACTTCAGATGATGTGATTTTCAGAATGTTATGTAAGAAATTGTTAAACCGACCAGAGGCAGTTGAATAAACTGTATTTTAATTAATGGGAATTTAAATTAACAATTATTAATAAATCGTGAGAAGAGAATTATTAGATTTTGAGTGGAATGAAATTTACTGGTGGAATCGGCCAAAACACAGATTCTATTTATGGTTGTGAAGAGTCGAAATTTGGGGAGATATGTAAGTTCTCCAATTTTTCGCAGTTTAGCAAATATGAGTAAATGACACTCAGTTGTTTAACATCTGTCTTTTTGTTGATACAGTTGTTATTCATGAAAATGTGGGACATTTCCAGGAATAAACGTTTGGAAAGGTGTTTTTCTTTATCAAGAACTTTGATACTTGTGTAATTCATAGAATGCCCTGTTGTGTTAACACCTTTCCAAACGTTTATTCCTGGAAATGTCCCACATTTTCATGAATAACAAATGTATCAACAAAAAGACAGATGTTAAACAACTGAGTGTCATTTACTCATATTTGCTAAACTGCGAAAAATTGGAGAACTTACATATCTCCCAAAATTTCGACTCTT